AGCAATTGCCTAAATACTATTTGCCTGTAGGATCAATCCATAGATTGAGAAAAAATGAATGAAGAAAATCACATGTACCTTTTGATAAAAAGAAAGTGCTCTTTACTTAAAATTTAAAAATATAAATAATTAAACAAACCGCACTTAAACACCCATCAAAAGATCACACACACACACACATAAACGCTACACCCCCTATGCCTGGTCAGATATTACTTATTTAAAAATCTTTTCACCTTTTTATCCATCATTTTCTTAAGCTTTTATCTGATTCCTCTGTTCGTCATCAGTCTATCTATCTGTCGTCATATATAATAATATATTATATAATACTAACTGCATACCCGTGCTCCGCCACTATTGAATCTATTTTTAATTAATATACCACTTGGCAACAAACAAAACCAAACACAAAAGAAAATTCAAATTCAGACGCAAACACAAACTCAACGCAAACTCCTACTAAACGTAAACTCAAAAGCAAACAAATACAAACGAAAGCGCAAACAAAAACGCTAACACAACATGCAATCACAAACACAAACGCTAAAACAAACACAACGCAAACACAAACACAACGCAAACACAAAAGCAAACAAAATACAAACGAAAAAAAAACAAACGCAACACGTTATCACTAACACAAATACAAAAGAAAACCCAAACGCAAACGCAACGGAAAACAGAAACACACACGAAAACGAAAACACAAAAGCAAACACAAACGCTTTATCAAATGGCTTTATCAAACAAACGGCCGTGTATTATGCTATCACGGACGTACGCGCAATTAGCATTCACATTTTGTTCTAGGCGTATAAGCGAAAATATTATTTAAGATGTTTGTACATATTGTACATATTTTGTTTTGTGTTCACTTGGTGTGCAATTCTTTTTTTCTACGAGATTCTATTCTATTTTTAAAAAGTTGAAGTATTTAAAATTGATTAAAAAAATTTCATAAAAAACGTTTTAATAACAAGCTTTCATATAATAATGCACTAAAAAGTAGAAAATAAATTATAGACTACTACTAGCCGTCCCGGCCAGGCCCTGCACTGACCTCTGTTAAAAACCTATCTGTAAATGACCATGGCATGTGTGTTAGGTGATCAGCATATACCCGGCATTGCCCACCCTAACCACAATCAACCAAAACCAAAACACACACATAAAAAGAACCGCAAACATAACACAAACAAACACAACATTAACACAACAGAACCACAAGACAACCCAACGCAAACACAACACAACACAAACCGGGAAGGCTAGTATTATATAAAATTGTTAATCTTCTTGTAGTTTGGTGAAGGTGTCTATAAAATAGCTTTCTAAAACCTATCTGTAAAGGAACATGACATGTGTGTTTATTAATCAGCATATACCCGGCATTGCCCACCCAAACCACAACCAACCAAAACCAAAACACAAACAAGCAAACATAACATAAACGCAAACAAAAATACTAACGATAACACAAACACAAACCCAAACAAAAACGAAAACACAAAACCAACCACAAACGCAAATACAAACACAAACCCAAAGAAAAAAATACAAACGAAAACGAAAAAGAAAGAACAAAAACGAACCAAATCAAAACGAAAACGCAACCACTAACGCAAACCCAACCTAAACACATAGAAAACACTAACGCAAACATAAACGCAAAGCGCTCACAGTCTAGCCCGGGGCGCCAAATCGCACCGTACTGGGACGCCGGCGGAATCGCCTATTTCAGCTTAATAAACGACTATAGTACCCCAACTTGTTCATAGTTTTTTGCACTCATTAAAACGAACGTAGGCGCCAAACCGAACACGGGAGGCCCGGGGTCCCAAATAGCACCCTGTCTGGGCACCAGAGGACGCTCGGATTCGATTCACTTAAAGACTATAATAAACTTTCTTATCCATAGTCTATCGCACTGTTTAAAGCGAAAGTATGCACCATAGTGCTCACAGGTTAGCCGAGGGCGCCAAATCGAACACTGCTGCGGCGTCGGCGGACGCGCCTGTTTCAATTTAGTGAACAATTATAATACTCCAAGCTTATCCGTAAACGGAAAGAAATAAACATTTAGGACATGAAGGACCTGGCTTATAAACTGTTACTGATTAAAAATAATCAGAAGAAAACAGTACGTTCAGTGTATGTAATAAATAAAAGGCAGTATTAAAAATACCAATAACATTGCACTTGATCAACCCCCGCTAATTATGTAATTATTTTTTTTCATAAACCAAAACAAAGTAATAAAAAGTAAATTCTTTCTCCCCCCAATTTAATGGGTTTTTTTAAAGGGAAGTAACTGGGTTTTCCAAATCAAGGGACGTAATGAAAGCTAAAGGACAAAATGCAAATACATTTTAGACACAATTTTAGAAATTTTATAAACGTTGATACACTTTTTAAAAAAAATGTTTGTAATATTCATAATTGAAAATTATTATTCTAAGTATATAAAATGAACATTGTTTTTAAAGACTTTCAATATTAATTTTTTAAACTCATAAATTTAGACCATGAACACTTTAATAATCTATCAATTGAAACCATGGAAGTATCTTTTATTTTTTTGATTTTTCTTATATATTCCTTAGTAATTCACGACAAACATTTTGCAAACATACATACATACAGAATTGAACTTTATATATTATTTTTAAATAACTATGAAGAAAAGCGTAGGTTACTTTAGTGTCTATTTTCTACTTTTTAGTGCATTAGTACGTAAAAGTTTGTTATTAAAACGTTTTTTATGAATTTTCTTTTAGCACTCTACATGTTTTTACTTACAATATAGTTTCATGACAAAAAACCATTGCGCGCCTATTGGACGTGATGATGCGCTATTGAACGTCATGACGCGTGTGGTGTGGTTGGATAGAAATGCCTACTAATTTGGTCAAAATTTTAATTAATTCATAAAAAATTAATTAGGCATCCAATTAAGTCAAATTGAAATTCACGATGCATTGTCTTCATGTCTTGACTCACGTGTCAACTGTGAACCGTATCTCTCAAGTAGAAGTCTCCGAATTTTCGCTCCGGCGTTTCGATCTAGACAGATGACGAGAGACAGACTGTCGAGGAAGTGAGTTAAATAAAAGCTTGTAAAAATCATGTCTATATCTGAGTTACCATCCCCTGTTGTTTTATATAAGAATATTCGAGAAAGTTTAGGGGAGATCGGTTTATTAAATAAATGTTTTCGGGGACTTTTGTATTTGGCAATTTGCTGTCGAGTAAAATCCATCATGCAAATGGCATTCGGGCAAATGGCATTCAGGCAAATGGCATTCAGGCAAATAGCATTCGGGCAAATGGCATTCAGGCAAATGACATTCAGGCAAATGGCATTCAGGCAATCTCTCGGGCCTTTAGACCCGTCTCAGCACGTTCGGTGGGCCGTGGGCTGCTCGTAACAACTGTGGGCCTGTCATAAATATAACAAGGTAATTGTGTGGTCTTATATCATGTAACAAGGTAATTGTGTGGGCCTGTCATAATATAACAAGGTAATTGTGTGGTCTTATATCATGTAACAAGGTAATTGTGTGGGCCTGTCATCAAATAACTTGTGAAATATGTTGCGGTCTGACTTGGTCTTCAGGGATCTTACATAAGTGTGTAATGTTACAAAGATACTTTGCTATTTACAATAAACATAAAAACCCAGAAATTCTAAAGTTGGAAGTGGTTAGATCTCTCGCCTACAACAATTTGTGGTGCACACATTCACACAACGTTTTGTCAGTATCACAACATGATCACAACATCACCGCCATCAGAACATCACGGCCATCAGAACATCACAGCCATCACGGCCATCAGAACATCACGGCCATCACGGTCATCAGAACATCACGGCCATCAGAACATCACGGCCATCAGAACATCACTGCCATCAGAACATCACGGCCATTAGAACATCACTGCCATCAGAACATCACGGCCATCACTGCCATCAGAACATCACGGTCATCAGAACATCACTGCCATCAGAACATCACGGCCATCAGAACATCACGGCCATCAGAACATCACGGCCATCAGAACATCACGGCCATCAGAACATCACGGCCATCAGAACATCACGGCCATCAGAACATCACGGCCATCAGAACATCACCGCCATCAGAACATCACGGCCATCAGAACATCACGGCCATCAGAACATCACGGCCATCAGAACATCACGGCCATCAGAACATCACCGCCATCAGAACATCACCGCCATCAGAACATCACCGCCATCAGAACATCACGGCCATCAGAACATCACCGCCATCAGAACATCACGGCCATCAGAACATCACCGCCATCAGAACATCACGGCCATCAGAACATCACCGCCATCAGAACATATTTAATACAATTCTTGGTGAAATAAATAAAAATGAAAGCTAATGATGCTCTCTTATTGCAGAGGTCGTTCTCCCAATGGATGAATGAATTAGAGATGTGAAAACGGCTGTGTGAAGTTTGGCAAGAATTTCTGTAGATCTAACATCAGCTGTGTGAAGTTTGGCAAGAATTTCTGTAGATCTAACATCAGCTGTGTGAAGTTTGGCAAGAATTTCTGTAGATCTAACATCAGCTGTGTGAAGGTCTTTTCATTCAACTCTGCGTGCTACACAGCTGCTTAGGATGAAATATCACAAGGTTTAGATCTTACTTCTGGGCGATGGCCGACTGGGCGATGGCAGACTGGGCGAAGGCCGACTGGGCGATGGCCGACTGGGCGATGGCCGACTGGGCGATGGCAGACATTGCGATGGCCGACTGGGCGATGGCCGACTGGGGCGATGGCCGACTGGACGATGGCCGACTAGACGATGGCCGACTGTGAAAAGACAAGACGCTTCTTTGTGATCACGATGACGTAACCAAACTATCAGACAGTGTCGAAGATGAAAAAAGGGGGGGGGGGATAATTTGAGAATAGCAATGTAATATATGTTAATCAAAGATAGAATTTTGCCGGATGTCTAGTGGGTTCGCCTCTATCGGCCACTTTACATTCTGAAATCTTCTCTCATTAAAGCTGTGCATTCACACCATGCTGCACATGTGCTATACGACACGTGGTACATATCACGTGTCAAACCTCATGCCATATGTGGCATTTACGCCGTGTACATAGGTCAAAGTACATAGGTCAAAGTTTACAGACTAAATGATTTCAGCTGCAATAGGTCAACAAAACCCAAATCCACTGGATCCACCAAATCCACTGGATCCACCAGATCCACTGGATCCACCCACCGTACTCTGAGGGCCGCTGTAAAAATGTTCCTGAGGCAAGAAATAAACTATGTCCCATATGGATTTTTGTATCAAAGGGGACGTTGGTCAGACGGAGTCTTGTGTCGAGATATCAAAGGGGACGTTGGTTTTGGCACTCGTGCATAGCTGTACAAGGACTGGGGCGACAAAAGACTGACCGCCCCCAGGGAGGAGGCCGACCGACTTCTGTGTATGGCGGCGTTGGCGTCCAGAATGGTGGAGGGCGTGAGGGTGGCGGGGCCGGAGCTCGTACTTCCGGGTGAGTCAGTTTGTACCACGTGGTGACGCAACCTGCCACGTCCCCTCATGTCCCTGAATGAGGAAGATCGCTGCTTAAAGCTGTCCTGTGGAGCCTCGCTGGCTGACTCGCGTCCCGGGCCCCCGTCTACACCGGCCTCTGGGTGCCCGTCAAACGTGCCGTAAGACAAGACCCCGTCAGCCGCTACCACCGTGCTTGGCGATCCCGTCATGGCCGTCTTGAGAGACCGCTCCGAGCTGATGGAGGCGGTCCTGGAGGTGGCCAACGACGAGCTGGTCGACTGCTCACTGCCCAGCCGCTCACTGCCGCAGCACGAGATGTTGGAGGCCGGACTGACGCTCCGGGAGTCGGGGCGGCGCAGAGGTTTAAAGACGATCATCTCTTGCTTGAAGCTGGAGGGCCGCACCGGCTCCGGGCCAGCTTTGCCTTTTGGCTTAGATCCAGGCTGGGCCGCAGTATCGTCTAGCCGAAAAGATATTCTCTGCGGGATGGCTTTCTCGCCTGTTTTTGAGCTGTTTGCTGTTGAAGATGCTGTTGAAGACGCTGGTTTCGTTGATGTTGTGTTGAAAGAGTGGCGTCGCTCCCTCTCTTCTAAATAGTAGTCCTGAGATGGAACAGTGAGGAACCGAGAAGGAGGTTCCACGCTAATTGTAATCTTTGGCACTTTGAGGTTCGGTTCCCCCGCGGCAGACATGCGCACTGGGGGGTTGAACGAATGTCTACGTTCCACCTGCCGGTCGTTTTGGAAGACTGATTGACTGACAGCCGGCTCTTCCGGCTCGCCGCTCTGAGACGCGACGTCGATAGACGGTCGCCTCTCTGTGAGGTCAACTTCAAACCCTGGAACCTGAAGGAACCTGGAACTTTGTTGGGGAACGTGGGAACCACGACGGTCCCCGCTTTTGTCTAGGGTGCCGTCCGGATTGAACGAAGATCGACGATTTTCCATTTTAGCTGCATACTCGGGTTTGAGCGTGTTGTTGACGCCTATGGGGTTGAAGGAGTGCCGCCTATGCTCGTTGACGTCCCCAACCAAGATCTTGTCGTCCCTGCGGATGGGGAAGAAGGAATGTCTGCGCGTGCCTGGCTTGGGGCCGGCCGAGCCGAACCTGTTGGTAAACGAGAAGGGGTTGATGGAAGGTCTTCTACTGTCTCTCAGCGTCTTTTTCTCCTCATCTGCTATAAACCTGTCACAGGTCGTGTAGGGAATGAAAGAGTTTCTCCTGATGCCCGCGACTGTCGCGCGCCCGTCAATGGACGCCGTGTCCGGCAGGGCGTCCTGACTCTCCGAGGCCTCCAAGAGCAGCAGGAACTTCATCCTGCGGGTCCTCATGTCGCCACAGGCAAACGTGCCCCGTCTCTGGATCAGGCGGGTCAGGGGGAACGACCCGTAGCCCGACTGGGACACTGCACCCCAGCTGTCACGCCGCTGGGAGGGGAGCGCCTTGACGGAGGAGAATCGCCTCTGCTTGCCGGTCAGCATGTCTGAGGACTCGGAGTTCCACTGGACAAGCGAGCGGAGCATCATGGACTTGCGCCTGAGCCGGGCCTCGTCCATGGTGTAGTCGTAGCTCAGGGTCCTCGAGTCTACGATCTTACCGCCCACCCGGCCCGCCCGCTTGATGCTGGCCGAGCGACGGATGTTGGGAAGTGATGACGTCTTCAGCCAGTTGTCCTCACTGCGCAGCCGCTGTATGCGCGCCTGGATGACGCTGTACTTCTTGTGCGGTATGGGCGGGGACGGCGTGTAGCCCTCGCACTCAATGTCTATCTGCTGCTCTAGGGTCAGCGGCTCGCTGGGCTTGCAGGGGAAGATGGGCTCCGGCAAGAGCTCGCCACTGCTGCTGGGGTTGTCTAGCAGGAAGCTGCGCTCGGCGGCCTTGGAGTAGGCCGTCACGAGCGTCTGGGCGTAGCTTTTCTTCATCTCCTTGACGATGACCTCGAAGAGTTCGTCCTTGTCGTACAGCGCCGCGTGCTTGTCTGGCACCAAGATGGCGTACTTGTCCAGAATCTCACAGTAGAAGACGCAGGCCACAATCATGGCGAATAAGCCTGTCGCCATGACAACGGGTCCCAGAAACGAGCAGACTTTGATGACGGCCTCAGCGCTGTCTAGTGTGACGTTGGTCGACGTCTGGGGGATGTAGCCCTTGATGGCCATACCGGCGCCGGCTGAGACAGCCATCAGCCCCAGGACGACGGTGGCGATGGTGGGCAGCAGGCACGGCATCTTGAGGAACTCTTTGACTGCCAGGCGGCGCCGCTGGGGCCGGCGTTTTCGCGACTTCCCCCCGAGGCCAATGATGCGAACTTTGGCGTTTGAAACGAACATGCCGGTTTCCTACAAGTGACCTTGACATTTAAAATATCGTCCAAGGTATCGAAGAATACAAAAAGAATGACTTGAGATTGGTGACGTATTAATTAGGTGTGAGCACGTCCTGGAAAACAAAAGACAGCAGGTTAGGTCATGTGTAGGGGCAGACAACAAGGGCAGAAAACAGGGGCAGACAATAGGGGCATAAAACAGGGGCAGACAATAGGGGCAGACAATAGGGGCAGATAATAGGGGCAGACAACAGGGGCAGACAATAGGGGCAGACAATAGGGGCATAAAACAGGGGCAGACAATAGGGGCAGACAATAGGGGCAGACAACAGGGGCAGAAAACAGGGGCAGACAACAAGGGCAGAAAACAGGGGCAGACAATACGGGCAGGCAATAGGGGCAGACAATAGGGGCAGACAATAGGGGCAGACAATAGGGGCAGACAATAGGGGCAGACAACAGGGGCAGACAATAGGGGCAGACAACAAGGGCAGAAAACAGGGGCAGACAACAAGGGCAGAAAACAGGGGCAGACAATACGGGCAGGCAATAGGGGCAGACAATAGGGGCAGACAATAGGGGCAGACAATAGGGGCAGACAATAGGGGCAGACAATAGGGGCAGACAATAGGGGCAGACAATAGGGGCAGACAACAAGGGCAGAAAACAGGGGCAGACAATAGGGGCATAAAACAGGGGCAGACAATAGAGGCAAACAATAGGGGCAGATAATAGGGGCAGACAATAGGGGCAGACAATAGGGGCAGATAATAGGGGCAGACAATAGGGCATAAAACAGGGGCAGACAACAGGGGCAGACAATAGGGGCAGACAACAGGGGCAGACAACAGGGGCAGACAACCAGACAACAAGGGGAGAGAATCAATGTTTCCTCCAGATTTTCTTTCAGCACAACACATTAAAACGTCGAATTCGGCATTTAAAAAATATTTGCAGATTAAAATGTGACGTAACTGATTTTAAATGGATTCCCTGCCCTTTCCCAAACAATTTTTCCCTCTCGCTGTTTTGGATGTTGTAATCGGAAAATCTTTATAAAAAAATATTTTGTATGCTGGGAAATCAAGGTTTTTAAATATTCTTAATGCAAAGGTAGCCTGCAAAGGTAGCCTGCATCGGCAACCCTCGAATGTAGCCTGCATCGGCAACCCTCGAATGTAGCCTGCATCGGCAACCCTCGAATGTAGCCTGCATCGGCAACCCTCGAATGTAGCCTGCATCGGCAACCCTCGAATGTAGCCTGCATGATATTTTACTTCCAGTCACAACCCCTCACAACAACCACCGACAACCCAGAACCACATGTAGCCCTCGCGTGTAGCCCTCACATGTAGCCCTCACATGTAGCCCTCACATGTAGCCCTCACATGTAGCCCTCACATGTAGCCCTCACATGTAGCCCTCGCATGTAGCCCTCGCATGTAGCCCTCGCATGTAGCCCTCGCATGTAGCCCTCGCATGTAGCCCTCACATGTAGCCCTCACATGTAGCCCTCACATGTAGCCCTCACATGTAGCCCTCACATGTAGCCCTCACATGTAGCCCTCGCATGTAGCCCTCGCATGTAGCCCTCGCATGTAGCCCTCACATGTAGCCCTCACATGTAGCCCTCACATGTAGCCCTCACATGTAGCCCTCACATGTAGCCCTCACATGTAGCCCTCACATGTAGCCCTCACATGTAGCCCTCACATGTAGCCCTCACATGTAGCCCTCACATGTAGCCCTCACATGTAGCCCTCACATGTAGCCCTCACATGTAGCCCTCACATGTAGCCCTCACATGTAGCCCTCGCATACATTCCCAAAGTTTGGTCCTCTATTTGCCCTAGTTTAGAAGTCTACCCGACGTCACAAGGGAGATGATCAACTTAGAGAATCGATGATTATTGCCCGTGCTTTTAATGGGCTTTTAATCTCATTCTCAGGAAAGTGTTTCGAGGTGACCATACTAATAATGTGATCAAATCGGCCCCATTTTTCAAGCATGAAAATAATTTGTTTAATTTATCACACGCTAGTACATCTACAATAAATGTGCTCAAACAAATCCAACAAATGGACCACATTATCCGCATTAACCACATTAACCGCATTAACCACATTAACCGCATTAACCACATTAACCACATTAACCGCATGAACCACACTCTAGCACACAGTACTACGATGCTGAGCATGACCACGAGATGATGTCTCTACATACGGGCTGAAGCTTTCTGGCTAATTGACTCATTCAACAAATCCCCAGCTTAAAGTATTTCAGTTTTATTTCAGGCAACTGTTTGCATTTCTCCAATCCCTCAACGTAACGAGGGAAATATCGATACCATATTACAGCGATTACAGTCGGGACAATGGCGCGATGCCAGGACAGCAAACATCTTTCGATACCGACATCTTTCGATACCGACATCTTTCGATACCGACAAGCAAAGGCCCATTAGCTGAACAAACTCTTAGGGGCGTTCTAAAGACGGCGTCATAAGCTGTAGGAATACAACATTCACGGCAGGAATACAACATTCACTACAGGAATACAACATTCACTACAGGAATACAACATTCACTGCAGGAATACAACATTCACGGCAGGAATACAACATTCACGGCAGGAATACAACATTCACGGCAGGAATACAACATTCACTACAGGAATACAACATTCACGGCAGGAATACAACATTCACTACAGGAATACAACATTCACGGCAGGAATACAACATTCACTGCAAAACAACATTCATATTACTAAAGTAATACACTGGTCATATGTATGTATAAATAAATACATAAATAAATAAATAAATATATATATATATATATATATATATATATATATATTCGGTGTTGTTTACAAATGGTTGTGGTGCTGGGTTGTGTTGTGGTTGTGGTGCTGGGTTGTGTTGTGGTTGTGGTGCTGGGTTGTGTTGTGGTTGTGGTGCTGGGTTGTGTTGTGGTTGTGGGGCTGGGTTGTGTTGTGGTTGTAACTAGAAGTATAAAAACTTATCTATACTTTTCCTGCAGTATAAAAACTTATCTATACTTTTCCTGCAGTATAAAAACTTATCTATACTTTTCCTGCAGTATAAAAACTTATCTATACTTTTCCTGCAGTATAAAAACTTATCTATACTTTTCCTGCAGTATAAAAACTTATCTATACTTTTCCTGCAGTATAAAAACTTATCTATACTTTTCCTCCGGGTCTCAGGTGCGATTGCTGCTATTCATAGCGGCGGCAAACATGATTTGCCGGCAAACATGATTTGCCGGCAAGATTAGGAGCCGGATGCAACGATTATCCCGCGCGATGTGCCGGATACGGAAAGGATATGACCGGTTGTTGTAAACATGACCGGTTAGTCTGCCGGCACAAAGAATTGTTTGTTTATTGCAGGGTTAGCCAGGTGCTCTCGTGTCTTTGGATGCCTCAGCTAGCTTTGGCTACCTGTGGACACCTGATCTAGCTTTGGCTACCTGTGGACACCTGAGCTAGCTTTGGCTACCTGTGGACACCTCAGCTAGCTTTGGCTACCTGTGAACACCTGAGCTAGCAATGGCTACCTATGGACACCTGAGTTAGCTTTGGCTACCTGTGGACACCTGAGCTAGCAATGGCTACCTTTGGACACCTCAGCTAGCCATGGCTAATGGACACCTCATCTAGCCATGGTGACCTGAATAAAATGTTTCTCTGAGACGTTGTTTGCCCCTGTCAAGTCCTGCTCCTGTCATGTCCTGCCCCTGTCGTGTCCTGTTGTCACGTCCTGCTCCTGTCATGTCCTGCTCCTGTCACGTCCTGTTTGTCACGTCCTGCTCCTGTCATGTCCTGCTCCTGTCACGTCCTGTTGTCACGTCCTGCTCCTGTCATGTCCTGCTCCTGTCACGTCCTGTTTGTCACGTCCTGCTCCTGTCATGTCCTGCTCCTGTCACGTCCTGCTCCTGTCATGTCCTGCTCCTGTCATGTCCTGCTGTCAAGTCCTGCCCCTGTCATGTCCTGCCCCTGTCATGTCCTGCTCCTGTAATTTTCTGCTACCGTCATGTCCTGCTCCTGTCATGTCCTGCTCGTGTTATGTCCTGCTCCTGTAATTTTCTGCTCCTGTCATGTCCTGCTCCTGTCATGTCCTGCTCCTGTCATGTCCTGCTCCTGTCATGTCCTGCTCCTGTCATGTCCTGCTGTCATGTCCTGCTCCTGTCATGTCCTGCTGTCATGTCCTGCTCCTGTCATGTCCTGCTCCTGTCATGTCCTGCTCCTGTCATGTCCTGCCCCTGTCATGTCCTGCTCCTGTCATGTCCTGCTCCTGTCATGTCCTGCCTCTGTCAAGTCCTGCCCCTGTCATGTCCTGCCCCTGTCATGTCCTGCTCGTGTTATGTCCTGCTCCTGTAATTTTCTGCTCCTGTCATGTCCTGCTCCTGTCATGTCCTGCTCCTGTCATGTCCTGCTGTCATGTCCTGCTCCTGTCATGTCCTGCTGTCATGTCCTGCTCCTGTCATGTCCTGCTCCTGTCATGTCCTGCTCCTGTCATGTCCTGCCCCTGTCATGTCCTGCTCCTGTCATGTCCTGCTCCTGTCATGTCCTGCCTCTGTCAAGTCCTGCCCCTGTCATGTCCTGCTCCTGTCATGTCCTGCCTCTGTCAAGTCCTGCCCCTGTCATGTCCTGCCCCTGTCATGTCCTGCTCGTGTTATGTCCTGCTCCTGTAATTTTCTGCTCCTGTCATGTCCTGCTCCTGTCATGTCCTGCTCCTGTCATGTCCTGCTGTCATGTCCTGCTCCTGTCATGTCCTGCTGTCATGTCCTGCTCCTGTCATGTCCTGCTCCTGTCATGTCCTGCTCCTGTCATGTCCTGCCCCTGTCATGTCCTGCTCCTGTCATGTCCTGCTCCTGTCATGTCCTGCCTCTGTCAAGTCCTGCCCCTGTCATGTCCTGCTCCTGTCATGTCCTGCCTCTGTCAAGTCCTGCTCCTGTCAAGTCCTGCTCCTG